GGATTCAAGTCTTCAACAAGGTCTAAATCTCCAACTTTCTTTATATTATAGGGGACATCCTGGATACTTCTTAACCCATATTGCAGCAAGCTTTTCAAATAATTTAGTTTTAATTTGATTGAACTAAGTATAGGATTTTTAATGACTCGATAATATGATTAGTTTCTTTCCATATTTTAAATTATGACTGCTCATATTTCAGCTTGTTATATTTCCCAAACTGAAAAGCAAGCAGTAAGAGAGTGTTTCCTTGAATTCAACTCCATCCTCTTCTATAGATGAACACAACCCTAGACGATTCTTAAGGGTGGAACATGATAAATTTGTTTTGTAAATCAAAACAGCTAATCAAAAGTAATTATATTTTCTGTTTGATGGAGTGAAAAAATTCCTGCAATCACCTTAGAGTAGAATGGTGTAGTGCTCCCAAATTTGTAAATCACATCAATAATAAGGTAAATCATCTTTTAGACACTAAAGTAATTGTGGAGCCCTTGCTTTCTTTCTCTATCTCTCTCTCTCTCTTTTTGTATTTCCATCTTTAAAAATGTTGGTCTGGCGTATCAAATTTGGATATGTAAACTACCATTTTTGGCAAAAAATTATAAACCAACCATAACTTCTCTCTCGGTGAGTATTAAGATTCTAATTTACTCATTTATTCTGATAATCAATCCATGTAGCCATTGTGTGTTCCAGCTGCAGAAATAGTAAGTACATGGATATGATACAAAACTCTAATGAAGTGAAACAAACTGTAAGCAAAATAGTATAATTATGGATACATGTGTAGAGAAGTAGCACACACGAAGGTAAGGTCTTTGAGTGCAGGTGTCTTTAGTATACAAATTAGAGATGCTAGTTCTTTGTATTCCATACTGAAAGTTGTTTCATTTTTTTCTTTATCTGAATCACTCACAATATTTGATGCTTTGTGTTGTAAGCTTGTCATTTCTTAAAAAAGCTCTCTGAGGAAGTTTCATTGTGTTTGCAGGGATGTGGCGTTAAAGGCTGCACTTTTACCCTTAAGGTTCATCTGTTGTTTATCTCTACCATCTTCCTACATGGGGTGGGAAGTATCTGAAACATTCTATCTGTTAGTTTGTTACAAACTTGCTTCAATAGTTCAACGTTGCATGGCATCACTTTTATTTTCTAGGAAAAATGAAAACAAATAATCTGACCCACCTGGTCTGCTTTAAAAGGTCCCATTTTTTGATAATCCATAAATAACCCAGCCTTTATATAATATCATCCTTCTTCAATCCAGTTGACATGGTACTGGCTACAACAAGCCATCTTTTAAACAACCCGTCATTTAACTTTTTTTTGACAAAGCCGTCATTTAACTTGAGAAACAAAATTTAACCCAATCGTTTTTTACCTTCAATTAAAAAATTACATTGAATTAAAATTATTTGCGACAAATGAGACGGAGGGTCGGTGATGAACGTGAGACAGTGGAAGAGAACCCTGACAACATTGACAGAAGACGGCGTGTTTTGCCATTGAGTTGATTATAGGTAATAATTTAAATTTCTGCTAACTACAATTCATTCCATAAATATTTCGGCCCATTCTAGTAAGAATTATATAAAGCCGAATGTGTTTGATTAAATGTCAAAACTAAATTCTTCCTTTACCATTTGAGTGTACGTATGAACTGCATGAAGGGTCTCGGTGTGAAATATACTTTTCATATTATGCCAAATTAATGTTTCATTATGTGTACATTATGTGTTTGATAAAATGTCCAAGTCAGGTGTGTATATGAAATTTTCATTTAACCTCAATAGTGATATGAGAGTTGGTTATTATCATTCTTATATGTAGGTTACAATGGTTGGAATATATCAATGATGTCAGTTTGAGATTTTATCATGGCAGCTTAGGAAGACAAAGGATGCACTAGTTTATATAAATGGATAGAGTAAAACTTTTTAAGTTGATCCTGGTGAACTATGTTGGTTTTGTCTTGAGGAATTGGCAAATAAATGTGAGAGTTACAATGTCATTGATCAAATATTTTATTTGGTGCCTGGACTGAGTTTGGAGAAAGGGTTAACTAAATTCATGTAGGGACTTTTTTTATTAATAATGAGTTTATTGGTACGGTGCAGGGACTGTATTATGGATAGTTAGTTTATTGGTGCAGGCTCCAGGTAAATCGGGAGGATCAAGACTGGTGTGATTGCAAAGTGGGTAGATTTGGGCAAGGAAAAAAGATGGGCATGTATAGATAATAGATCTATATAATCTAGCCATTCATAGATATATGTAGTGACCATATACTGGTCTGATTTTGTAACATGTAATTAACTAATTACGTATGTCGTGGTTGTCTGTTATGATATGTAGTTTGGAATGATGGTGTACTCGTATGTTTTTGGGTTCACTAGTATTTTGGTTGCTGTAGACACTATTTTGCAAACCTGTTATGCTGTATTGAAGTTCTGATATGATCTTTGATCTTTGCACCAGTTACGGTTCATACAAGCCTCATTAAAAGCATCTGTTTCTTTATGATTTTTGCACCAGTTTATTGGACTGATTTTCGAGTGATGTAGCATTGAGCATAGCCAGAGAAAGACTGCCGTTGAGAGATTAATGTTGATTAGTTATTTGTTAAATTTTGAATGTTCTAAAATGATCATAAGTTTTCATTATCAGTTTTTGAAATCATAGATGACCAATAAACCAAATAATTAGAAAGTGATTACACTTGTACTTAAATAGGTGAATAAGAGTTATGTTGGTGATTGTTTTGGATTGAACATAGTGAAATAGTTTGAATGGATTTTTGAGCTTGCATTTTTGAACTTGCATCAGTTGCATGTCGCTTCATGGTAGTATATTAAATGAAATAATATCTAATTAATAATGTCTATCTCTCTGTTTTCTCTTAGATGTATGATTTATAATTGAATGGGTTAACCAAGCTTAGTAACGGCCCATGGACGCAAATGTAATACCGGGGATTCAAGTAGTTTAAGTAACACTACATGTTTGATTGTATTTAATTAAATTAGTATTAGTACAAAACCAATGTTTCAATAATAAATTCATTTTCCTCTTTAATCTTAGAAAGCTAAAATTCCATCCAAGTAACACTAGATTTTGAAACATGACTATTTGTGCCATTATTTCAATATCTATATAACAACGAGACAGTAAGGTGGTTAACTGCTCCGTCTCTTCCCCTCATTTGCAGATCAAGGTGTAACTTTGTATCCAATTCCTATACATTAGAGAGAAAAATGATCAGTTAGGAAAGGTAACTGCCTCATTCTTATGATTTTCATGTGTACAGAGGTCAAAATAAATACCCCCTTCGCAAGGCTGCAAAAAATAATAAACAAATCAATCCACTCCACTTATATCATCCAACTCTACAACTATATATACTTGTCATACATTTCTTCCTGCTCCTCTTCTTAATGGGAAAAACAGCTCATTTGTCATATTTCAAGTCTTCTAGCTGCCAAGCCTTTTAGCTGCAAAAGCGGTTGTTTCACCTAAGCATGCTACGACATTTCCCCACTCTTCCGTTGAAGGAATGGCCAATTGACCGTGCACTGCTGGGTTGTGAAAAAAAAAGATACTTCCTCGGTCCCTTATAACTTTGCCAACTTTTTTTTGGATGTCCCACTAACTTCTTATCATGTTTCCTACGCACCTTAACATGAACAATTGTAATTTGGAAGAGTTACATCTAAAATAAATAAATAAACTTCTGGTAAAGCACTTAACAGTAACGAATACTATATTTTTCTATCCAATATGGGTTTAGCTAAACTTGATATAGGTCTAGTCATTTTTTTTATTTGAAGCACTTCTTCCACTAGGCAAACAAAGGTTTATGCTATAGGAATGCAATTAAGCTTCCAAATTAATCATATACCAAATATTTAGTATCTTGTATATGATCATACCCGGAAAGATAAACATAATCTCATTTAATGTTCCAGCCCCATCACGTCTATAAGTGAAAAAAGGGAGAGTAAATCATCATGGATCAGTCATATCTATACAACATTACACTGAACATAGAAACATACTTCGTAATACTAAGGTAGATAAAATTACGATTCATGTAAAGAACGGAGAACTAAATGCCTCAAATGATATCAAATTTACAATGGTTGGACTGAAAAAAAACTTAAGAGACACTGAAAATCATTAAAGTGAGCGACCAAAGGTAAGTGAAATGTTACACCCAAATGAACATTATAACGTGCCAAGTGACAAATAGACAGTACATAGCAAGTTACTTAACTAGAAATAGCATGTAGGCAGATAATCATTTCGGATTCTCAAAAAAGTGAATGTAATCCAACAGCCTGAAAGATTCTAATGTCAACCTTGAGCTATTAAAAGGTAAACCCATTACTCTGATTTTTTTCACCCAAAACTAAGTGAACAAAATCAAGGTTATGATTGCACTACCCGAATTAAACCCTTAAGCACTGCCAGTGGCAAAGAAATAAATGAAAGAAACACAAGTTGGACTTCCTTCTCTTCAGACTTCCCTTTCCCCCGACAGAGGTTCAATTTAGGGGTGTATAGAGCAGGTTGAACTAAATAGCAATTATTTAGCTGAAATTTTCTTAAGTATCACACATCCAACACTCAGATAAACTAATCCGAGACATGCAAGAAATTCAAGATGCATGTATATTAGAATATAATCTTTGACATCATATTTGGTTAATGGCTCAAGCCTTATTTTAAACGCATTTCCAAAATGCTCAAAACCTAATTATATGAGTTTAGTACTTGGTGACACAGAATAATCATCATCAGAATGATATTCTACATTTCCATTGTTTTACTTGTTGACCATAAATGCTTACCTCAATAGACTGCATTTCAAGTCTTGTAACATGAGCTACAAATTCCACATTAATGAGAAGCTGATAAGGGTTTCTGGTTCACCTAAAGATTGGAAACATCTACCTTCACCAGAAGATTTGAAACAAATGAAATTCCTAACATCTACCCGCGCCAGAAGATTAGATATTAAAAGTTGAAGCAACATACGAAGTACAATAATAGAATTAATTGTTGTATTCACAAAAAAAAAAAAACTCTGCCCCTTAAAAAAACCCATTACAAAGAGAACTCACCTTTTTTCCTAACATCTGTGGAGCCATAGACGCCTAGACGGAACACTGTGAGACGTTATTATCTACCCTCACACACCGGTTTATTACATAGTGAGAGTTTTACTAATGAATGAAATATTGGATTGAGAGACCAACTCTCAGCCTGGCTCTGGCTGTGAGCTCAGATCCGATGTTGGGGCAGTTCTGAAAAGTGTTTAAAAAGAAAGAAATCCCACGATTGGAGTGATGGGAAACGTGAGATTGGAAGGGAGATGTAGACGGGAAACGATTCAGGGGTCACCTTGTAAATTTATTTATTTTAATAGATTAACTGATGTGGAATAGAAACCCAACAGAGTTATGCCACGTAGTGAATGCACGGAAACATTCCGTAACGTAGATGTACCGAAGAGGTTCCCTTAATTAATACATCCTAGGTGTAAATTTGTACACATGGCGGAGATTAAGAGGGCCATTTGTATCAGGTACCGTACCCTCAAGTTTTGTACAGGTACCACAGTTGTCACCATTTTCGCTATATACTTCGTATATGAGTATATTCCTCCGTAAATGGTAATTGCTGCGGGGACACCAAATAGAAAGGAGTAAGATAGATCTGGCTATGGCCGCCTCTACCCTTAGCCGCAGCAGAGTCATCTCTCTCGTCATCATCTTCGCAATAGCCTCAACATCGACTGCCGGCGCCCGCGAAAGGGTCCGTGTGGAGGAGAATGACCACCGCATCCTCAAGGCCATGATGGACCGCTGCGTTGAGATATTCCTCTACCCCTTTTCGCCGCCGCCCCACAATGTCGTCAACGCCGACGAAGCCCGCCTAGTCCCGCGACTCACCATGTACAACTGCGCCGCACTCCTCCATCACCTCCGTGACATCGCCGGCCGCTACACTCCCGAAAACCTCCAATTGCTCTACGAGATTCCCTCCTTCGATTGTCCGTGGACCCGGTTCGGAGCGGGTACGGATCTACCGTGGGCTATAGACTTTTCAAAACCCGGAGTCTTCGGCGGCGGTCCTTTCCTGTACGGAAAAGATAACAGAACGGAGATTCCTGCGGAGGATTACCAGGCCCTGAAGACGGTGATGGATTCCTGAGCCGAAAGGAACAGGTATTGCACCGTTGCTTGATTAGGGAGAGGAATCGTCCCCAGTACTGTCTCGATCTTATCCAGTTCATCCATCACTCCCGAAGAGAATATGCACACCTCTTTACTGCTGGATTTATTTGCTGGCTTGCATTAATGATAGATGTTGCATAGAAACCTGAAAATCAGGAGGAAACGAGGAATACAAAATATTAACTATTGTTAATGTTTGTTTTGAAGGTTTTGAAAGAGTTTTAGTAGAGTTTACAAACGAGAAATAGGAAACATTAAGGACCTGTTTACTAACAGAGATATTTTCCAGTTTTTCAGAAAACTGGAAAACTAGAAAACAGAAAACAGGAAACGTGTTTACCAAAGAAATTGCTGGAAAACTGGAGAAAGGAAAAAAGAAAATTACTGGTAAACGTGTTTACCAAATTGTTTTCCAAAATAGAAAAAATGAGACATGTCTCTCTTTTCATTAATGTTTTGGAAAAATGACTTTTACTAGTTTTCCAAATTTGGAAAACGCAGATGTTATAGTGCCGCTGCAATGAATTCGCATACTTACACCTAGTGGTGGGTCCGGTCCCGCTCCGATGTCGATTCCATTCCGGTACCTCCATCCTGGTACCTTACCCCTTACCCCTACCCTACCCTACCCACCCAAACCCCACCCCGTGTACCCATTTTTTCCTATAGTGACCCTACTCCACCCCCTACCACATGCACCATACCCTACCGCCACCCCCTGCCACCTCGACCCCACCCCAACCCACCCTACCCTACCTCCACCCGTATATTACTCCTTACCCCTTACCACATGCCCCCTACATAGGTCCCACCCCACCGCCATCCTACCCCCACCCTTGTACCGCCATTCTACCCCCCACCCTACCCTTCCCCTACTTCGGCCCAACCCGGATCCCGGGCCCACCCTACCGCCATCCTATCTCAACTCCCTACCCTACCCACTACCACCACCCTTAACCGCCATCCTACCCCCCACCCTACCCCTTCCCTACCTCGACCCCACCCTGGTCCCGACCCCACCTTACAACCATCATATCCCAACTACCTACCCTACCCCTACCTTAACCCAACCCTACCCACTACCCCCACCCTTAACCGCCACCCTACCCCCTTCCCTACCTCGGCCCCACCCTGGTCCCGGCCCCACCCTACCGCCATCCTATCTCAACTCCCTACCCTACCCCTACCTTACCCCAACCCTACCCACTACCCCACCCTTACCCCTAACCACGACCCTAACCCACCCACTACCCCTACCCCTGGACCTTACCACCCCACCCCGACCATACCCTTACACCACCCCCACACCCACCCATAACTTCCCTACCCCGACCCCTGCGAGTAGGTATGGGTGGGTATGAAGGGTTGTGGGGGAGTATGGGTAGAGTGTAAGATCGTGATAAGGGTAGGGGTCAAGGGTGTGGAATTGGAGAACTGGGTGAAAAAATTGATGAACATGTTTTCAAATTTGAAAATGGAAAACTAAAAAATAGAAACAGAAAATTGGAGATAGAAAAACTGAAAATTAAAAACAGAAAATTGGAGAACGAAAAACAGAGGTAGAAAACAGGAAAATATCTCTGTTAGTAAACAGGCCCTAACTTTTGTTAATGTTTGTTTACAAAGTTTTCAAAGAGTTTTCGTAAAGGTTAAGAAAGGAAAGCATACTTTATTTTTTAGTTTCCATGCTATATATCGTAACTATCGTTACATGCATAATATACGTTATGTTAGAGCATCTCTAATGGGAGGGTGCATTATATTGCAGCTAATGTGGCATAGGAGAGAGATATAGATAAAATAAATATTTGGATGAAGTGGTGTGTAGGGAAAAATGAAAAATAGGAGAGAGATAGAGGTAAAAAGGACCAAGGTCTATGACAAGGTCCATATATGGTAGGGGTGGGCAAAAATACCGAACATGCATGGTACCAAACCGGACCGAATAACGGGTTTCAAAATTGTTCTAAAAAATTTTGTCCCGAACTGGACCGTACCGGTTCCAAACCATGTCATGACTGGTTCTCGTAAAATAAGAACATGTACCGGACCGAACCGGACCGAATATGATTTATATAATTAATAATTTATAATTAGTGTACATGTATACCATTTGATTACTCCTTCCAATTTACTTTTTTGTACTACTATAGTTTAAGTGAGCATCAAATTGAAGATCTTTTGCCATACAACAAGTATAAACACACTTTACTTGTTATAGTTAATACCTTTAATTTATTTTATGTGCTCTTTTTCAAAATTTTGTTGTGCAAGTATTTCCCGGAGACCCAATGTGTATGAGTGAGAAGCCAATGGTACTTGAAAAGTTGTGGTTGTGAACGTTATGTGATATATATTTTGTATTACTATAGTTTGTTTGAAACTTATTAATTATTTAATATGAAAATTGATAAATTGTGTGATTTTTTTAATTATGACTAAACTTTAATTTGTCGAAAAAAGTGGCATTGTTTGGTATTGGTATAGCATGGTGCCGTACCATTTGAAATTAGAACCGCACCGAACGGGTTTAGGTCCAAGACCGAACCGAACCGTTTCAATAGTAACGGTCCGGGTACGAGTTCGGTAAAATATTGGACTGGACCCACCCATACATATTTTAAATTAGATTTTGCCCCATTGTTTTTTTCAAAATATCCTCATAAAAAATCTAATTTGCGATGCAGCCATTCTTTTCAAATTATATGAGGGACTAGGCACCATTAATTCGGGCAATTTATACCGTGGGATCGTTGCACCGTGAGCACGGCACACCGATCCCAAAACGGTGGCGTTTTGTTATTAATTAGAACAGAGATGCAAAACCTCATCGTCTTCTCGATCATTCCCTGCGACCAAGAAACTGAGAAAGCAATTCTTCGCTAATACGAATCCTCCTAACCTCCATTCTCAATCAACAAGCCTTAAATTCTTCGCTCTACGAATCCTCCCGTATAGTACGAAGTATATATTCCTCAGTCCACAAGCCTGAAATTCTTCTCTATGAATCCTCCATTATAGAGAATTGCCGCAGCCTACAAGCCTAGAATTTTCCAGATGGATATAGGATCCGCCGCCTTGGCGACAAGAGGAAGATCTATTATTAACTCTAGATTGAGCACAACTATTATTATCCGTCGCCTTCACGCCTTGGTAGTAGACCCATGACGCACATGCGAGTACAATGTATTCCTTTTGTGTGACTAGAGTTGCCCCTTGTTACATCTCAATGAATGTGATTTACATCTCAACTTACCTGAAGTTACATTTTAATATACGCGATTTACATGTATATATAAAGGACGAGAAAATAATTATTGGAAGGAGTAAAGTTAAATCCAGTGCACGAGGTACATTTATTCATAACTGAGATTACATTTATCGGGACGCGAGTTACATTTCAATACACACGAATTACATAAACAATACTGAGGAATTAACTAAAATCACTGTTCATCCGCGTTTTTTTTTTAGTTAAAACTTTATATTAAATGACGATTTTAACTAATGGGAGCATGGTGCTCACCATGGGATGATCCCACGGTATAGCAACTCATTAATTCATCATATGCTTATTGCCACGTCAGTATCATTGAATAAGGAAGCATATCCCTTATTAATCTGCTATCAGAACTTGTAGTCAAATATAGGGATTAATAAGGAAGCTCTACTATAACGAAGATTCCCTTATTCTCTCCAGTGGCGGATTCAAGAATAGAATTTATTAGGGGCAGATTATGTATTAAAAATACTTATAAAGAATAAAAATCAATAAAGTGTTGTTGTACTATTATTATGATAGTAAAAGTTTAACAGACATTACAATATTTCAGCGTTTTTTTTCATTTTTTCCGCTGAATTTATCATTTTTCTCAAAAGATTCTTACAGTTTTATTTAACACTTTTTGTTACTCAAATGTAATTAATCGACAAAAAGGGACTACAATTACTATGTACATTGCTACATTATCACTAGTGTAAAGTTGAATATAAAAATACTTCCTCCTTATTTTAAAGTTTGCTACATTTTCCTTTTTGGGATGTATTTAAAAATCTGCTACATTTTTCCTTTTGATAAGTTTATGGGTTTTTTGCAAGAATATTACTAAAATAAAACTTATTTACATAAATATGACTATTCATTACTACAACGTAGTGTTGTGGTAACTTAAGTTCAAAATATTTATGTAAAACTTATTTACATAAATATGACTTTTCCTTTTGAAAAAAGAGCTTGATGTCAAGTTGTATGTAGTTGAAGGAGAAAATTAATGCATGAAAAGTCGTCTAAAATGCATTACAAGATGTCCAAAGATCACGGCCGAGAATCTAGACATATGTTTCAACTTGATATAGTGGCCTATACTTTTGTATATATATGTGTAGCTTAGCCATTTGTATGATCTATAACAGTTTGATTATTAGTCTCATCATCAAATATAATCTTTTATTGACAATTCTACTTTTGTCATTATTTATTTTTTAGATGACAGTTTGGATTGTTGGCATAAATACTTTATGACAAAAAATTGTAATTAAAATAGCTATAGTTGATGACGATTTTTCTTGTACAAATGTACAATGACAAATATGTGACTTTACTATGATGCTATATTTGAATTTTTTATGACGCGATGTTAATTGTCACTATATAATACATTTTATTGACAACATAATATGCCGTCATCTATTGTGTTAAGCAAAGATGAAAAAATTACTACTTTGACGACAAAAATATCGACGTTAAAGTGACATATATGTTGTCATTAAAACATACTAGTAATGGTGACAAAGAACTAAATCGTCACCAAATATAGATAAATCGTGACGAATTCGAAAAGTGTCACATATTTCTTTTGCCACGGAGCTACGATAACGAACATTGTGACAAATAAAATTCATCATATATTTGTTTTAGTGATGAAAAATGAAGTTTATGTGAGAAATTTTGTGCCACATTTAGTCAAAATTCTTGTAGTGTATATGTGTGTGTTAGTGAGTATGTTAGGTCTAGCCCTTCCATAGAATGTACAAAGTTTGTAATATCTATATCTATATATTATTAAGTCAACTAATTGAGTATCCGGGATAATGTTTGTGTATTTGAGTAAATTTATTTGGAATTACATGATTAGCTAATCATCCGTTTGCCAAGGGAACTTTTGATGAGCTAAAATACATGATTACCTAATCAAAACATCTTATATAAAAACTACCACTAGTGTTTTAGCCGGGCGTTGCCCCGGGTTGATGTTGAGAATGCTTGAATATTTTGTAAGATATACGAGTATATTTTATACAATATATAAACAATTTATCATTTTACTTCAAATAAACGTTTGTTCATTGCGGATAGTAATTTAACTAACGAGGCATTATAATGTAACACTACACGCACCAAACATCTCATTTTTAGGTTTTGGGAAACCTCTTTATAAACAACATTCACCGTCTTGGTGAAGAAATTTGTTTCTTTTGAAGGTATGTGTATCTTAATGTCTTTGCTCATTACTTTTGGTATTGGTCACTAATGAAATTTATCTCTCAAAGTATAAATCAAAATTTTATGTGATAACATCTAACCTTTACTTTTATTGATTTTATGTCATTTCAAAGTTTGCAAACACATCAAATAAGCAACCAAAAAAACATAACTTTGAAGATAGACAAGAACATGATAAAACAAAATAATTGGCTTGAAAACCCATGATTGAATTGGGATTTTCGCTTAAGATCGATTACATTGCTTCCAAAACAGGGCTGTAGGATGAATGCGTACATATAAGCTACGTCTATATATATACTCACTTATATGAATGAATGAATAAAGGTTGAGCATCACACGGTTTAAGCATTTCATTTGTAAGTAGGCGTGCAACAAGTGTACGAACTCCAACTGATAAAATTAGACACACTATTCTTTTTCGCTAATATATATATATATATATGTATATATATATACATATATATATATATGTATATATATATGTATGTATATATAGAATTTGGTTCAAATAAAAAGTACTTCATAGGTGAAAAATAAGAACTAATCTTGGCCGTTGATGTGAAAAAATGGATGGAAGAGATCAATTTTTAAGTGGGAAACGCGGTGGCATTTGTGTAATTATGGAGAACTTTTTTTGAAAATATTGTGACAAGTGTGTATCAGAATAGTCAAAAAGTGCACACGTAGAACACAAAAGTGCAATACGATATCAAATAAAAAGTGCACAAGTTTAAAAATTTTGACAATCTTTTTTGACACGCGTGAGTGCACTTTTGGTTAGTAGCTATCCACTTTATAGTGTAAACATTTGCACATTTTTTGAAACCGTCTCTTATGTTTAAAGTTCATCTAATCCATCCATTTTCAAGTGATCAAAGGTCAAGATTTATTCTCACTTTTCATGGGAAGACTACTTTTTACTTGAACCCACCCCTGTATATATATATATATATATATATATATATATATATATATATATATATATATATATATATATATATATATATATATATATATATATATATATATATATATATATATATATATATATACGAAGTATATATATATATAGGGTGCGGTTCCGGTGAGAACACTTCTTAACGTGAGAAATGAGAACGCTCCAAAATGATGCACTTTATCATTCACGAAAATGCACATTTATAGTTAAAGTAATGCAAATTTCTAATGTGCACTTTTACGTGTAAACTTTTGCACGGTTGAAATGCACATTTTCCAATTTTTCATATGCACATTTCTGTTTTACATGATGCACAATGCTAAAATCCAACGCTCCAAAATCATTCTCATTTCTCTCCTAAGATGGTATTCTCATTTGATCCTTACCCTATATATATATATTCACCATTCATACACATACTTCGTTTTATCTTACTTTTACCTAAGCTACTCGCACATTAAATGATACTCTTACATAAAAGTCCATCAACCTAGTGTCTACTCTGTTTCCCTTTACAACATGCGACTAATTATATATAAACTATATATAGAATAATGCACATACAACACATATAAAAGTTGGAACAATCAAATCATAAGTAGCTGGGTCACGTCCTTATTAGCACCAGCCCACGAGTCGTCATCTTCATAGCACCGGCTCAACGCCATCATTTCCATCTCAAGATCGATCACGTCCTCCTTCACTTGGAGTCTTGGATGATGACAACGGGACTTAATTTGAACTGCCAACATAATCTTATCATCGGGTTTACTCTCCATCCTCATGGATGATGACTATTTCTTCATCGCAAGTCCAGTCTCAAACCACTCCTTCAGCAAATGGCAGAATTTTGCAAATATCTTACATGCTTCGGCTGGGAGGCGGGCAAGCCAGACTTTTGTTGGTCTGGTCCTATCTCTCTACTAATGGTCAGCTTCATTTCCTTACTCTCCTGGAAAAAAATTGTTCTTCACGCAGTAGGGAAGGTGCTTCTCCCCAGCATTAGTTATAGAATTGAAGCTCTTAGCATCTCCTCAACATTAGGTAGAGAAGGTGCATAGTTCTCCCCAGGAAGAGAAACACTTAGCATCTCCCCAATGTTAGGCAGGGAAAGTGTGTGCGTCTCCCTAACATCAGGCAGAGAAACTCATAGCATCTCCCCGACATTAGGTAGTGAAGGTGCATGTTTTTTCCCAACATCAGGCAGGGAAGGTGTGTGCTTCTCCCCAACATCAGGCAGAGAAGCTCTGAGCGTCTACCCGACATTAGATGGACCTGCATAAGATGTGAAAGGCTGATACCTAGCAAGTGTGCTTCTCTGATCTGATACACATATACATATACATATACATATACATATACATATACATATACATATACATATACATATACATATACATATACATATACATATACATATACATATACATATACATATACATATACATATACATATACATATACATATACATATACATATACATATACATATACATATACATATACATATACATATATACCACGCACACGCACGCACACGCACACCCACACACACACACACACGCACGCACGCACGCACGCACACGCGCACACACACACACATGTCCAATTTTACCCGTTGGAGTTTGTACACCCGTTGCGCATCTAGTTACAAATAAAATGTTTAACCCGTGAGATTGATGCTTAAACTTTACGTAGACGTGGAGGCCATAAAGTTTCATTTGGGTGTTTATTGATAAATTAGAGAAACTTCATAATTGAGATATATTATTATAATATGTAGCATAGGAGAACGTCTGATTGATGTTTCTAGTCTTTAAATTCTTATGATTAGCCCCCTGTCAGTAGGCTTCATGTTATGTTTTTTTGGAAATGATTAGGACTCGGGAAATTGTAATATACATTTAAATAAATTATGGATGTCTAGCTAAGTATGATTGATAGGTAAGTCACACTTAGTTGAGCAAGTTGAGTTCAGCTTTGACAGGTAAGTCATCACCACCTATACATGATAGTTTTAAATAAATTATGGATGTCTAGCTAAGTATGATTGATATACTTGCTTCATTACTTGGAAGTGTATTGTAATACCCGAGATTAATTTAAGAGGATTAATAGTACTACTCATACCAACAAGATGCATCTCCTTTTAAGGGAGCTCATCCGCTAAGAACTCCAAAGTTAAGCGTGCTTGCACGGGAGTAGTCTTGGGATGGGTGACCCCCTGGGAAGTTTCTCAGGGTGCGCATGAGTGAGGACAAAGTGCGCGGAAAAGGCTAGTGGCGGTTTGTGAGGACAGTACTAAAGGTCCGGAGTAACTACCTCGGGTCCGGTGGGGCCGGGGTGTTACAGGTGGTATCAGAGCAACCCTGCGACAGTGTGCTGATCCATTGGATATCGGGCGGGCACTTAGCAGGGGAAAAGATTCTGGGGTGTGATTGAGATTGGTTTAAGGGCGCAACGAGGACGTTGCGATCCTAAGTGGGGGTGATTGTAATACCCGAGATTAATTTAAGAGGATTAATAGTACTACTCATACCAACAAGATGCATCTCCTTTTAAGGGAGCTCATCCGCTAAGAACTCCAAAGTTAAGCGTGCTTGCACGGGAGTAGTCTTGGAATGGGTGACCCCCTGGGAAGTTTCTCAGGGCGCGCATGAGTGAGGACAAAGTGCGCGGAAAAGGCTAGTGGCGGTTTGTGAGGACAGTACTAGAGGTCCGGAGTAACTACCTCGGGTCCGGTGGGGCCGGGGTGTTACATGTATAGCATGAGATGTGTGTAAACTCCAAGTTAGATGTATTGATTGCCAGGTGTGTAAATTGTGAAGCTATTGTGTTATCGAACATGAAGTATTCAAGTTCTATGAATTGTATGAAGCTATGTGCATACGAAATAACAATGAAATGAGTGTAATTATAAGTAATGTTTTAAGGTAGCTGTGCCCCCAAGTAACTACGTGAGCTGAGCGTAGCGGGACGTCCTTCCGCGGGGAGTCCCGGGGTTACTTCTTATGGGCTGCGGGCTAGCTACCCGAGGTCATCAGCGAGGGGACAGGACACGAGCTACGGGCCCATAAATGTAAAGGACAAAGTGAAGAAAGAATGATGTATAAGGAAACTTTTCTATAGTTTCGATATTTGAAGCTTTGCTTGACATGTTATATGTTCTGTAGGTGGTTATGCAAGGACCTTTTGAGTATTCTAGATTGTGTATCTATTTATGGCTAGCTAAGATTCCGTTATTTTAGTGGATGTAATGGTGACTTACTAAGCAAATTTTGCTTACGAGACTTCTATTCTATCGTGTTCTCATGTATAGATAATGAATAAAGGACAGAAGCCTGAGAGAATGTACAGAGCTGGTGACAGGGTTTTGGATGGGTTAACGGAGAAGACCTGGCTGGCTGTTATGTTTGGTATTAGTACTTTGATACTTATATGTTTTGTTAAAGGTTTTGTTTTCAAAACTCCTAATCAGGTGTAATAGTTATGTTTACGGGTGGTTTATCTGGATTTCTTTAAGTTTTCGTTAAGAAGTTTGGTTATGTATATAAGAAATAAAGTTTCATGAGGAGACTTTATATCTTTACTTCCGCTTTGTATATCGAGTTTGTTTATGTTTGAGTATCGTAATGGTCGTTTGAGGACGGTCGTTACATGATCATACCATTGCGAGAAAGTTGATTTATTATCTTTCTCCATATTCTCTGCAGTTTGATCCTCTAAGAACGCCTAGTGAAAATGCCCATTTTGAAATAATGTCGTTTGTCCATGGTTCGTCATAATTATTGTCATTAGATACTAGCAAATATTAATTGCCCATTGCGGATGTCGATTTTGAAGTATTTCTTGATAAGTCTGGGCTCTGCTTTCTAGCCCTTTATTGAGGTTGGGTCTTAGTTAGTTAAGCAATATGTCATTATGGACACCAGGTCCTCCATGCTTTGGATAAACTGTTGCGTGAGGAAAGATGATAGATATAAGTTTCCCTTTGATAGAGTATATGGGCCAGGACCCCATGGCCCACATACTCGACGGCCCAAAAGACACCAGCAGGACACCCGCATCGGCCAAAGGCAAGCAACGTCCAAGAAAGAAGATGTCGCCTAGATCCTTGGGCAAGACCCAGGATCCGCATCGTCCATGGACCGCATCGTCCATGGACCGCATCGTCCATGGACCGCATCGTCCATGGACCGCATCGTCCATGGACCGCATCGTCCGGACTTCGTCCAGGCAGAATGTATTTTTCACTGTATTTTCTAAGTATTGTACACAGCCCATTAGTGGCCTTATTTCGCCCAAAGAAGGCATGATTATTGTAATGGGCCTCCTAAGCCCAAGGCTAGGGGCCCAAATCCACATTTTTACCTATAAATAGACCCCAAGGGGCTAATTATAGGGGGTTCCAGGTTGAGAAATATAATTACTCACTTTCTCTCTCTAGCTCTCACTTCTCTCTATAATTAATACTCTATCATTTGGTGCTTTCATTGAGAGTCTAGAACAGATCAAATGAGTACCCTTCGTCGCTACCAGACACTACCACTAGCTATGACAAGAACTAGGTCAAAGAACACTGGTAGAAACGCCCCTCTGAACCAGGAAGGGCAGGGAAACGCTGCTGACAACGTCCCCAATGATCTCATCATCCAGGATGAGAATGCTCAGGAGGTCGAGCACGAGACGGCTGACCTTCGCGTCCAGCTCAATAGGACTGCTCCGGATGCTCGCATCGGACTTGAAGACAGACGCAATGCTGATCGCACTTCGGGCCAGCAGGCCTCTCACCCTGCTGCTCCCCAGATCAACCCGGCCGCATTATCGGCCATTGTTGCGAGCATCCTCCAGGACCCCAATGTTGTCAACGCCCTTGTCGCAAAGACCGGGGAAAACAACACTCCTGTAACGGGGGAGGTTGCGACGGTGCCGCCGCCGCCACCTCGTCCACAAGGCGTCACCTTCTTCGGCGACCACGAGGACGTCCTCGCCGTGGACACCCACTCCCATACCGCCTCTCCTACCCGGGATACACCGGCCCAACCTCGCGGTAAAATCTCGGCCTTCAACAGGCTGGGTGACATCGCGAGCCGTCGGGTACCTACGGGAAGGGTTGCGGATCGGTTGGGTGGTCGCGAGCCGGGATCACCAAAGGAAAGCTTCGGGTCCGTTTCCCGGACAACGGATCGGCCCCGACCAGACAAAGGAAAGGGAAAGCTGAATGATGACGATGCGCGTCACCAAATCAACCTGGCCCACGCGGCCCGGATCCAGACCCCTCTGGGCGGCGGCGCGGCCAACGCAGACCCAAGGGATGAGATCATCGCCCGCCTGGAGAAGCGCCTCGCTGATATAGAGGCCCGGGAGGCCGCAGGGCGCGCAGCGGCTCATACATCCCAGCATCCCAACTACGACGCGCTCCTGAACAAAGTCAGCGCTCTAGAAAGGGAATTGGCTGACCGGCGCGATGAGCCCGTCATCCAGATACGAACCAGGACCCCCTTCTCTGCGAGGGTGCTCTCCGCCCCCATCCTAGAGAAGTATAAGGGGAATCCAATCAAGCCATATGACGGCCGCACTGACCCCCACGAGAGCACTTCACCCGTTATCAGAACAATATGATGATGACCAACGCCTCGGAGGAGTATATGTGTCGCTGGTTCCTATCCACCTTGGAGGGACCAGCGTACGATTGGTTCAACAACCTTCCAGAAGGGAGCATCGACTCATGGCAGGACCTTGCTCAACGCTTCCTCACCCACTTTGCTGGGAGGAAACGTGCGAAGAAGCATTTTGCTCATCTCCTGACCATCAAACAACAACCGGAAGAGACGCTCTGAACCTTCCTCGATCGCTGGACGAGGGAGGCGGACGAATGTGAAGGAGCCGATGAACGCACCCTCCTGGCCTTCCTCCGCGGAGCACTCCGGCCGAGCCACTTTGCCTGGAGTCTATTCACAGAGCCCCTGCGGTCATACCTCGCGGCGCTCCGACGCGGAGACAGGCACGCTGACGCCGACGAGCTCCTGAACCAAAAGAAGGGTGGGGAGAAGCAACAGAAGAAGGACCCCTCGTCCAACCCCCACCATGCGCCAGCCAACAAGGGACAGAACCAGCAGAAGAAGGCACACCAGGAGCCCGGCGGACAGCGAAGAGAGGATCGTTCATGGCGTCCAAAGTTGGAGGCGCAACGCATCCCCCTCACCCACCCGGTGAGCGTCGTCCTTGACCACGCCGAGGCGCAGGGCCTCATTGTGAAGGACACCAGGTCAGAGGAGGAGATATTTGCGGTCCACAAAGGAGGGACATACTGCAAGTACCACCGCCAGACATCCCACAAGACCGAGGATTGCACCACCCTGAAGAGGCACATCGACGGCCTCGTCCGACAGGGGGAACTTTCCCAATTTGTCAAGGGTGTCCCCAAGAGTAACACTTGGGTTAACCCTGGCAAAAGGGGGGAAGGATCCTCCGGGAAAAAGAGGGAGATCGGCGCCCTCAGTGAAGATGAGGACGAGGAAGAGCCCCGCCGAAAGAAGCATCACATCCATATCATCGTCGGCGGAAACACAGGGGGGGACTCGGCTACCCAACGGAAAAAATGGGCTCAGTCCCTATACGTTGGTGAGGTGTCCCACGCCCCCCCTCAGCCGAAGCGACGGAACGTGGAGGCTATCACCTTCACCGACAAGGACCTCCCCTTCGGCCCTCTGCCCCACAGAGACGCCCTCGTCGTCAAATGCGAGATTGGCGACAACATCATCCACCGCAACTACATCGACACTGGCAGTTCCGTCAACGTGATGTACGTTGATACATTCAGGCAGCTGAAGCTGAAGAAAACCGAGCTCCGGCCGATACGGACTCCGTTATCCGGCTTCACCGGGGACTCTATCGACGCCGAGGGCACGATAGTGCTTCCCGTTGTGGTCGGTGACGGTACCTGTCAGGCGAAGATTGACATGGAGTTCGTGGTCGTCAACCTGGACAGCGCCCACAACATGATTTGGGGACGACCGGCCTTGGAGGACCTTGAGGCCATCATCTTCATGAAACATCTATGCCTCAAGTTCCCCACCAAGGACGGCGTCGGCTACGCCAGAGGAAACCAGAAGATAGCCAGTGCCTGTTACCTCAAGCTCACAAGAAAGATCAATGAGGCCGAGGAGCGGATCGACACTATCACCACCGCCTCGGCCGAAGAAGACACTCCAAAGGCCGAACCGGTCGGGGACGTGGAAGATGTGCCATTGGACGTCTCTCGGCCGGAACGGATGCTAAAGATCGGGACACAGCTCCCCCAACAGATCCGAAGGGACATCCTCTCAGCCCTGAGAGCGTACGCCGTCGTCTTCGCATGGGGACCAGAGGACATGTCGGGCATCAGCCCAAAAGTAATCACACATCGGCTATCGGTGAACCCGGCCTCCTCCCCCATCAAACAGAAGAAACGCTACCTCTCAGCTGACAGGAGGGAATTCGTCAAGGCCGAAGTGGCGATGCTGCTCTCCATCAAGCACATAAAAGAGGTGAAGTACCCCACGTGGTTGGCGAACGTCGTCCTCGCCCCAAAGCCGCCTACGTTCAGAATGTGTGTTGATTACACTGACCTGAACAAGGCGTGTCCAATGGACCCATTCCCTCTCCCCAACATTGATCAGTTGGTGGACGAGACGGCAGGGTGCGAGTTGATGTCGTTCCTCGACGCGTTCAGAGGGTACCACCAGATATCCATGCATGAAGATGACGCGGAGAAGACTGCTTTTATGACCCCGGAGGGAATCTTTTGCTACCTCGTCATGGCCTTTGGGCTCAAAAATTCCGGCGCCACTTATACAAGAATGGTAGCCCGGGTTTTTAGAGCAGTCTTGGGCCGGACGATGGAGGCATACGTCGATGACATGATCGTTAAAAGCAAACAATCCACAACTCATGCCGACGACCTCCGGGGCATCTTCGAGATCATGAAGAGGTACAACCTCCGGCTCAACCCGAAGAAGTGCACCTTCGGCGTCCAGGGAGGTAAATTCCTGGGGTACCTGGTCAGCCGAAGGGGCATTGAAGTAAACCCGGAGAAGATTCAAGTCATTATCAACATGGAGCCGCCCCGCAACATCAAAGAAGTGCAACGGCTGACGGGACGCCTTGCGGCCCTGAACCGTTTCCTTTCAAAATCCGCGGAGAAATCGCTCCCTTTCTTCCAAATAATGAGAAAGGCCGCCAGCTTCAAATCGACGACGGAGTGCCAACAAGCCTTTGACGAATTGAAGCAATATCTCGCCTCCCCACCCGTCCTATCCAAGCCCCAACCCGGCGAGACTCTCTTCCTTTACTTAGGAGTGAGCACGTCGGCCGTCAGCTCTGTACTCATCAGGGAGGATGACGGGGTACAAAAGGCAATATTCTACGTCAGCAAGACGTTGCGGGAGGCCGAGCTCAGGTACTCCCCCATTGAGAAGACGGTGCTGGCCATCGTCCACACAGTGAAGAAGCTGGGGCACTATTTCCAGGCTCACCCCGTCCATGTCCTCACGCATCAGCCGTTGGGCGCCCTCATGAGGAGCCCAACCAGCTCCCCAAGGATGATCAAATGGGCAATATTCCTGAGCCAATACCAGATTGAGATCAAGCCGAGGCCATCCATCAAGGGGCAAGCCTTGGCTGACTTTGTCACGGAATGCACAGCGAGGGAGACGGTCGTCACCACCACCAGCCATGAACCAGATGAAGCCTGGACCCTCTTCACGGATGGGTCATCGGCCAACAAGGCATGTGGGGGGTGGCGTCGTCCTCATCTCCCCGGAAGGTTTCAGAGCATATTATGCCATCCGCTTCAATTTCAAAGTATCCAACAATGAAGCCGAGTATGAAGCGCTCCTCAGCGGGCTCAGACTAGCCGCTGGCCTCAAAGCACGCCACATCAGAATCAAATGCGACTCCAAACTCGTAGTGAACCAGATGGAGGGCTCCTATGAGGCCAAAGAGGGGAGAATGAAGCAATACAAGGAGGCCGCTGCGGAATTGCTCAAGGCGTTCGATACCTACGAGATCACTCAGATCCCAAGGGCAGAGAACGCCGAGGCCGACATACTCTCCAAACTCAGCTCCGACACCCCTGAGCACATCTCCAAGATAGCGAAGGTGGAGGAGTTGAGCATGTCAAGCATTCACGCTAGCCCTATACTCTCCATACAACACCAGCCGGAGGATTGGATCACTGACATCGCAACCTACATCACCTCCGGCACACTACCTGAAGACGAGGAGAGGGCTAAACTCGCCAAACTTAGGGCGCCAAGCTATGTCATTGAGGGTGACAAGCTCTACAAGAGATCATACAATGGCACCCTCCTCCGGTGCCTCCACCAGAATGAGGCCGAAGTGGCCATGGAAGAAGTCCACTGCGGCGTATGCTCATCACATCAGGGGCCCTTCAGCATGTCGCGCCGCCTCGTCATCCAAGGCTACTTTTGGCCGACGATGGCACGCGATTGTGCTGAAGTCGCCCGCAAATGCAGCGCATGCCAACACTACCAAAGGGCACCTGGCCGGCCGGCCGTCAACTACGCCCCGGTCAGCACTGCCATCCCATTTTCCAGATGGGGCATTGACCTCGTCGGCCCACTACCAAGAGCCGCAAGCAACCACAGATACATCATCGTCGCCATCGACTACTTCACCAAATGGGTCGAAGTCGAACCACTCGCAAGCATCACCGGAGCGCGGTGTCGAAAGTTCATCTACAAGAACATCCTCACCCGCTTCGGCGTGCCCCAGGAGATCATATCAGACAACGGCACCCAATTTGAGGCTGAACCATTCCAAAGCCTCCTCCAAGAATGGGGTATCAAGCACCGATTCTCCTCCGTTGCCTACCCTCAGGCCAACGGGCAGGTTGAGAACGCCAACAGAACCATCTTGGAGGGATTAAAGAAGAAGTTGGAGGAAGAAGGCGGAAGTTGGGTCGACGAACTCCCCAACGTACTATGGTCCTGCCGCACCACTCCAAGGAGGGCCACCGGGGAGACACCATTCTCCTTGTGCTACGGCTTCGAAGCCAAGGCTCCTACCGAAGTCACCCTCCCCAGCCGACGGGTCACACAATACGACCCCGAAGCCAATGAAGAAGCCATGAAGATTGACTTGCACCTCATTGACGAAAGACGGGAGATGGCCTACCTCAGAGCGGAGAACTACAGACGACAAGTCAAATCCTACTACAACGCCAAGGTCCGCTCTCGCGAATTCCAAGTGGGGGACTACGTCCTCCGCCGAAGGGAAGCGAGCAAACCAACGGAAGGGGGAAAGCTCGCCGTCAAATTTGAAGGGCCCTACATCATCAGGGCCGTCATCAAAGCCGGCACCTATAGACTAAAGAACCCTAATGGGTCAGATGTACCACGGTTGTGGAATGTACACCATTTGGTGAAATTTTACCAATAACTCGAGAAGTGGTGAAGCGGGCAACGTCCCCCACCCCTCGACGTATTGGTTGAATAAAACACCCTCGGCCTAGCGCCACTTATTGAATAAAGATCATGTTTCAATCCATTCTTTCAAAGGAAAAGCTAAAGATCGCATCGGCCTAAGCGGTGATGACACCCAGGACCGATGCGACTCAAAGCCGTCGCAATAAACGACGCACTCAAAGCCGTTGCAATAAACAACGCACCTAAAGCCGTCGCAAATAAACGACGCACCCAAAGCCGTTGCAATAAACAACGCACCTAAAGTCGTCACAATGAACGACGCACCTAAGGCCGTTGTGACCCACAACGCGCCTACAAAGCCGTTGCATAGACAACGCACCCAAATATCGTATCGGCACAAGCGGTGAAACACCCAAATCGGCCGGCGATATGTAGGACGAAGGACCTGTGTGCATGGTCCGACGTCTTCAAACAGAGAAGCATACCGCGTCGTCCGCGCGGAAACCGCGGGACGACAAGCCTGAATTAAGGCCGAGGTTACAAAAACTCCACCCGTCAGTAAAATTTCGCTCAGGACCACAAAGGGCGGCCGTCAGAAGACGATGCCTAGTCCGGTCCCTCGTCGACGATAGACGTGGAAAGGCCAAAAAAGATGCCACTGACACACCAAGCCGAGGGCGTATTTACTACCTCGCACTAATCCACGCGAAAAGCGTAGCGGACAAAACTACCGCACAAGGACGAAGGGACAGTAACCCTTCGACCACCAAAAAAAAAAAAAAAAAAGAGGGAAGCCGACGGACCGCGCACTCGCCGGCCTCGAGCATAAAATAAAATCCCCAAAACCAAGCCTAAATATCGGCTAAGTACATATCAGGATCACCAGGCGGGGATACGAAACATACGCTTCGACCACAGCCATGACATCATAAGATTGAATCACTTCGGCTCAACCATACGAGACCACACTCGGACGATATGTCGCATCGTCTACAAGTGGCAAGAACCAAGTGATAAACCGGAGCGAAACACCTACAGCTAGGCAAGCTTGACACTTAGCAAATTATCTAAACCACATCACCACAAAGACGATGCACTACCACTGCGCATCGCTTCGTCCTCAACACTTCAGGATGAAGATCCAAAAACTTGACTCGGAAAAGTTGTCAAAAATGGAATTCATCAAGGAACGACGAGGCGCATCGTCTTCAAAGAATGGAGGTCGTTACGTCTCAATTGAAAGACGCCAAAACGGAATTGTGATACTTAGAAAAAATTTCCAACCAAAGGTACACGTTACTAGACACATCGTCCCTACGACAAAGGACAACATACCCAAGACGTTGCGCCACCCGCATCGTCCTCATGAGGCACCCGGATGAAGCTTCGCATCGTCTTAAGCAAACAAGGCATATTCGGGTGCCCACACTTAGAAAAATTCCAAGGAAAACAATCTACATAAATACACAGACGAGGGACGCTTCGTCTCAATCAAACCGGGGTGTAGGCAACTCTGACACTTGGCAAAAATCACGAGAATTAAACGCATATGAAATTAAGGCGATGAAGGCGAAGCGATATAAACATTCATACTTGGAACAAAAAAAAAGAGTTGTCATTAATTGATGATTCAAAATATCCAAGGAGGGCGCTTCGGCCGTTACAAAAATCAGGGCGCATCGGCCATCATAACTACAGCTACTAAAACCAAAGAAAGAAAAGGTACAAGGGCATCAAGCTTCCTGGCCTTGGCCACCTTCAACGGCTCCACTATCGGCATCGTCCTCGACGTCCTCAGTGGTCTTCGACTTGGCCGAGCTCCGGAAGAGGTAGTCATCACTCTCGGTCCAGGGCCCGTCCTCCTCGTCCGAGCTCAGGATGGGGAGTTGCCTTTCGGACAGTGGGAGTTTCAACTCCTCCTCAGGGTCCTTCATCAGCCGGGGGAGGCCGATACCCCTGGGTTTCAAGTTTTTCACGCGACGGCGGAGGCGGCGATAGACCAACATCTGCATACGCCTCTGGCCGAGGTCATACCAGACTTCAAACTCCTATTTCAGGCAGGCCCGACCGGCTTCCTCCTGCGACCACGCCTCAAAGCGCTCCGCCACGACGTTAAAACTCCAATCACGCCGGGACTCGTCCTTCCACCCCTCGGCCATGAACAAATCAACAGCCTTCTCAGCAGCCCTCTCCGCTTCGGCCTTCAGCTCCTCGGCCTTCTTCGCCTTCTCTTCTGCCAACCGGCGGGCTGCGGCCTCCTCCTCCAACTTGGCCTCAGCTGCAGCGGCTCGTGCTTCAGCCGCATCAGCCATTTCCTTAAGGGAGCTGACCTCGGATCGGAGAAGCTCCAGGGAAGCCAACGCCTCGTCAGCAGAGGCAACCTTTTTCTCAGCCTCCCTCAGGCGAGCAAACTCTTCTTCTTGCCGACGCTGCTGCTCCATCAGCATGAAGGCACCCTGTAGAAACAAAGCCAAGGTCAGAAAAACGAAGGAAAAATAGGGCAAATATTACAAGTACGAACTCAGACACTTACTTGGACGACGAAGTCCAAACCGCCATCAAAGAGGCGCACTTCCCTGCCTTGCCGGCGTAAATACGCCCTATCCTCATCTGGGATAGCCTGGAACAGGACGTCATGCCCAGACACCTTCTCATTGAAGAGCCCGCCCTTCGTCGGGTACCGGACCGTCACCTCATACAGGCCCGCGGCCACATCACGACCGGTGCGGGTACTCTCCTTGGCGACAGCGCCGGATTGAGTGGGAGCAAGGGCCGATGACGCAACGTCCAGCGTCAGGTCTTCAATCACCGGAATCTCAGACGCATGGTCCCCTTGCGCCGCAGCGTGCTCAGCGGCCGCAGCAGCACCACCAGGAGCAGGGTCTCGTCTCGTCTTCTTGGCAGCCTGGCTCGGCACCAGACCCGTCTCAGCCAAGGTGCGCTGGCCTTCATCGGGTTTCTTCTTCCGCTTCACTACTGGCTTTTTCGCCGCTTCGGCCTGGGATTTCGAGCCGTCGCCCGAACCCTTAGACGCTTCAGCCTGTTGAGCGGCCTCCATCTCTTTGGCAACCATTTTCTTGGCCTGAGCCATGAAAAGCTTGCGACTCATCTCAAAACCTGCGAATGCGATACAAAACAAAGAGTTAGAAAAAAAAGGAAAAAAAAGACAAGTACACAAGGATTAAAGAAAAGCTATCAACCTTCGGCCTCGGCCGGGATCCCAATAGGTGGCCCATCGGCCTGCTCAAAATAACCAGACATCTTCGGCCACAAACCACAATCAGGATCGCCTGGTATGAAGTAGCGCATCATCCCAAGGGCCGCAATCTTGAACTCAGTAATATAGGTGTTGACGCTCCGCGGCCCACCCTTCAGGAACGCCTCCACTTGAGCATCGATCTCAGCGCTCTTCGGCGGAGTGTGCAAGTTAAAAAGGCCATTATGGCCTTGAGAGGGGAAGAAGACCCCGTCGGCCAACTTCACAAAGCAGAATTTGCTCTTCCAACCGTGGATGGACGAAGGGAGATCTATGAAGGACCTCTTCTTCGGCAACTGCTGAAGCGCCGCGTAGCCAGCACAGTTCTCGTGGCTCCCCCGGCCGATCCGGTACAAATTCATAAACAATGCCGTCGTGGGCTCAATCCTAAGCTCATCACACCGGATAAGGAACCCGACGATGATGGAGTAGCTGTTCGGCGTTAGTAGAGCCGGGGGAAGGTCCAGCATCTTCAGATATTGGACCACAAAAGGAGGCAACGGAAACCTCAAGCCTTGGGAAAAACTCATTGGATACACCCCGAAATATCCAGGGGGTGGGTCCAAAACATGGTCCGTCGGCTTCGGCGCCCTCACCTTTCCATAAGGGCCGACGTACAACTGCGCCACCTGGTATTCGCTTGGGGTGCTCTCAGGCCTTATAATATAAAGGTTCGTCAGATCCAATTGAGAAAGCCCCCCGGATACACCTTTCCGCCGACGCGATGTACGTCTTTTCACCACCCCAGATGACGACGCGCCGCCCGGAACGGAGGAAATTGGTGGTGGACAGGGGATGGCGGCCGATGAAGCATCACCCACATTATCTTCGCGAAGCCTGGGCTCGGAGCTCGCTTCGTCCTCACCAGAGGGTTGAGAGCCCACATCGGCACTTAGACGCTCCTCGTCCACGGAGGTGCGGTAATCCGCAGTATTCTCCATCTCAATCTCAAAAGCCGCCACGATGTTCAAATCCACTTGAGGAGACGCGTCGTCCTCGTCAAAAGGCCAGTCCGATTCGTCCAGAGAGGCTGTCAAATCAATAGGGGAAGGGACGCTACGGCCGTCAGGGAACGGCATAACACCTAAACCTATCCCTAAGGGTGGTTTATCGGATCAAAGTGACTTTCCTACGAACACTAGATCTAACACCATAAGGAGCAAAATATGAAGGAAACAAAGGAAAAGTAAAGTAGCTAACCTTGGAAGATTTGAAGGATGTGATGAACACTTGAAAAATCTCAGAACTTTCTCTCTCTAGAAAAACTTGGGCAGCAATTCGACAACAACAAGGCACAAATGAGGAGGTGGCTTCGGAATGAGGGGGTATTTATAGAAAACTTCCAACGGTCACTACAAGTGGCGCCATCCCATTGGCTCCACCAACGGCCACCTCTCCCCCAACCAATCAAGGGGGTACCAACTCAAAATCACTCATGCAAACGCCCCTACGGCCCAACTCAACCCCACAAAGAGCAAGGCAGCGGCCGAGTACCGCTACGGCCCAATTACTACAAAGCTCCAGAACAAGCATCGGCCCATTTTCCCGAAAAGGGAACGCATCGGCCTAAACTCAACATCCTCACAACAATCAAAGGAACCTTAATAGACCGCTACGGCCGCTTGTGCGCACATCGTCGATGATAACCCTGGCATTGCGGCCTTCGTCCAAGGGTTCTCCCACAGGGTTACCTTGGACAGGTTCGCCTAAGGGTTGGAATCACGACTGACGCATAGGTACCGAATCGGCTCATTACTCCCTTGTGCCTCAGATACTCTTCGGCCAACGGAGTGGGGGACTGGGGGACTGTATCGGCTACGAGGAAAGAAAACGCAACGGCCTTAATGCAAAAAGGGGGCGCTACGGCTCGCCAATAACAAAAAGCACAACCTCCCTCAATAAGCACTAAGGATCGCATCGGCTACAGAGGCCAGAAATTAGAAACCCAAAATGCAAAATCTAGCGCGCAACGGCTACGTACACTGGGGGACTGCGTCGGCTCACCAAAGCAAAAGACCACAAGTCAAACGCTTCGGCTACGTGGAAAAATCAAAGGCGTGCATCGCATCGTCTACATAAACGGAATCAACCATCTTCATCTCATGAAGATATGTCATCGCTACGGCCAAAAAGACAGATGGGAGCTCTTCGACCCCAACAAGACGACAATAAAAGCATGCCAACTCATCCACACCGGAATTCATCACATCATCTACAAGAAAGAAAGCGCATTGCCTCGTCTTCAAAAGCACTTCCACAGAGAGTGCATCGGCCCGCATCAAGGCTATGAATTCCCAAGCGCGCTTCATCCACATCATGTAAGGGAACCGCTTCATCCAAAATCGAAGCAGAAACTCTTCGGCCATCAAGCACCTTGGGCTCACGCAGCGGCCAGCCCGAAAAGAACAAGTACTCCCTTTCGCTTCGGCTTCACCTCAGCTCAGAGATTGGGGGACTCCTGATAGAGTATATGGGCCAGGACCCCATGGCCCACATACTCGACGGCCCAAAAGACACCAGCAGGACACCCGCATCGGCCAAAGGCAAGCAACGTCCAAGAAAGAAGATGTCGCCTAGATCCTTGGGCAAGACCCAGGATCCGCATCGTCCATGGACCGCATCGTCCATGGACCGCATCGTCCATGGACCGCATCGTCCATGGACCGCATCGTCCATGGACCGCATCGTCCGGACTTCGTCCAGGCAGAATGTATTTTTCACTGTATTTTCTAAGTATTGTACACAGCCCATTAGTGGCCTTATTTCGCCAAAAGAAGGCATGATTATTGTAATGGGCCTCCTAAGCCCAAGGCTAGGGGCCCAAATCCACATTTTTACCTATAAATAGACCCCAAGGGGCTAATTATAGGGGGTTCCAGGTTGAGAAATATAATTACTCACTTTCTCTCTCTAGCTCTCACTTCTCTCTAGAATTAATACTCTATCACCCTTATTCCAGCCAAGTCAATCTTCAACGTATCGACGAGAAAGATTTGTAGATGATCCTTCACTTGGTGAAGATAAAAGAATTCAATGTGTGACCGTCGAATCCAGCCAGCAGGTATGTGCATTCGATAAATTATATTGGTAAAGATTACAGTCACGAATTCCTTTCTAGAGAAACTTTCATCTTTGTGAGAAGCAAACAAGAATTGAAAGATGTGGTGTTTCGTTATGTCACAAACACAGGCGGCATAAATACAAAGGGGGTGTTGGGGCTCTCTCATCCCAGAGTAAACTTTCTATTTTATCTCAGAGAAAATCTACAAAATTCGCATATTCCTGTGCTAATCTAGATGATGCATCTTATTTCTATAACAAAATAGTTATAGGAAATGCAATTGACGTTAGGGGCACGATGGTTCGATCCAGTAGATTATAGATAGAACTTTGATGACCACAGTGATGGGATGATTATTGACACGGGTTCCACGTACACATTTTTCCCTGAACATTTGTTGCTAAAAGTTGAAAGTGTCATCAAAAGGGCATATTGGTTCTTCTTTGTGTCGGAACCACGAATTGCATGATCAATGGTATTCGATGTTGTGCTATGACGGTGATATAGAGAGTGATTTGAAAATTTTCCCACAATTTCTTCTTGAATACGAATGTGGTGGAGTCATCACATTGATGCCCAATAATTTATTCAAGCATCATAGCAAACGAACATTCTGTTTGGCAATCCTTCCAACTGAGGTGACAAGTCTACCAGAGAACCACTCACAGAGTCATCTATGCGTAATAGCATTATGAGCGCCATAATGCAACAATTTTTTATGTGGATTTCGATTTAAGAGAATGTTGGTTGCATTCCTAAGAATAGATTGTCGTAATGCTGGTTCCTAAATTACGACAATCTATTCTTAGGAATGCAACCAGCATTCTCTTTAAATCAAAAGCCACATAAAAATTTACTGCATTTTGGCACCCATTATGCTATTACGCATAGATGACTCTGTGGGTGGTTCCTCTGGTAGACTTGTCACCTTAGTTGGAAAGATTGCCAGACAGAATGTTCATTTGATAAGATGCTTGAATAAATTATTGGGCATCAATGTGATGACTCCACCACCTTCAAATTCAAGAACTTGTGGGATAATTTTCAACTCACTCTCTATATCACTTTAATAGCACAACATTGGATGCCATTGATCATGCACTTTGTGGTTCCGACGCAAAGAAGAACCAATCCGCCCTTTGATGAAACTTTCAACTTTTAGCAACAAAGGGAAAAATGTGTACATGGAAGCTGTTTCAATAATCATCCCACCACTGTGGTCATCAGAGTTCAATCTATAATCTACTGGATCGAACTCTATAGCTTGTCCACCACTGCGAATTTTTTCTATGTTTAATTTGTAGTTGTTATCAACAATTAGTGGAACCATCGTACCCCTAAGGTCAATTGCATTTCCTATAACTAATTTGTTATAGGAATAAGATGCATCATCTAGATTAACGAAACAATATGCGAACTTTGTAGATTTTCTTTGAGATAAAATATATAGTTTTATCTGGGATGAGAGTCCCAACACCCCATTTGTATGTACTTTGTACGCCGCCTATGCTTGTGACACAACCAAACACCACATCTTTCAATTGTTGTTTGCTTCTCCCAAAGATGAAAGTTTCTCTAGAAAGGAATCCGTGATTGTAATCCTTACCAAGATAATTTATCGAAGAGACACATACCAGATTACCGGATTCAACGGTCACACATTGAATTCTTTTATCTTCACATAGTGAAGGATCATCTACGCATCCTTCTCGCCGATACGTTGAAGATTGACTTGGTTGGAATAAGGGAAACTCATATCTATCATTTTCCTCGCCACACAGTTTATTCAAAGCAAGGAGGACCTAATGTCCATAATGACATACTGCTACACTAACTAAGACCCAACACGAATAAGGGCTAGAAAGCAGATCCCAGACTTATCGGGAAATACTTCAAAATCTACGTTCGCGATGGGCAATAAAATATTAAATATTTGCAAGTATCTAATGACAATAATTACGACGCACGATGGGCGAATGACATTATTTCAAAATGGGCATTTTCACTAGGCGTTCGTAGAGGATCAAACTACGGAGAATATGGAGAAAGATAGTAAACCAACTGAATCACGATGGTATGATCACCTTGAGCAGAAGCAACAAAAAAAACATAACTTTGAAAATAGACAAGAACATGATGAAAAAAATACATTTGTTATGGAACATATACATATACATATACATATACATATACATATACATATACATATACATATACATATACATATACATATACATATACATATACATATACATATACATATACATATACATATACATATACATATACATATACATATACATATACATATACATATACATATACATATACATATACATACACATATACATACACATATACATACACATATACATACACATATACATACACATATACATACACATATACATATACATACACATATACATATACATATACATATACATATACATATACATATACATATACATATACATATACATATACATATACATATACATATACATATACATATACATATACATATACATATACATATACATATACATATACATTAACAATTGTAATGTTGAACCTGTGATTTTGATCCCCAACAATTTGGTCATTCATCCCTAGCTATTAGTGTATATATAGACGTAGCTCACTTATATTCATCATCCTACAATGTGCTTTGTTTAAGAAGCAATACGTATAATCGGTCTTTAGAAATATTCCCAATTCGATAATGTTTATGTTCATCGGCCAATTATTTAGTATTATCATGATCTTGTCTATTTTGATATTTATGTTTTTCTTAGTTGGTTCTGCTCAGAGTGATCATACCGTTGTAAGTCAGTTGATTTATTACTGTTCTCCCGATTCTCCGCTCTATGATCCACATAAAACTCCTAGTGAAATAGCAAAGTTTGAAGTAATCTCGTCGGTAAATCGTGCATTATATTTACTGTCATTAGATTCCAGAAACAATTTATTACCCAATGCGGACGTTGGTTTCCAAGTATTTGCACATGAGAAGATGTCATGCTTTCTAGTTGTTGTTCATGTTGGGTATGAGTAAGTTAGGCATTATGTTATTATGGACACTGGGTCTGCCATGCTTTGGTTAAATTGTGTGCCAAGGTATGATGATAAGTATGCATTGTCCATATTCGATCCTAGGCAATCTTCAACGTTTATAAGGGAAGGATGCTTAGATGATTCTCCAATTTGTGTAGGAAGAAGAATTAGATATGGGACTGCTCCAACTGGCGAGAGGGTATGTAATTTTTCGCAAACTTATCTGATTAATGAGGAAAGTTACAGTTACCTTTATAGGGAAACATTCGTTGTTGGTAGAAGCAAACAACGATTGACAAATGTGGTGTTTGGTTGTGCCACAAATTCAAGTGGTGAAAAAATGGGGTGTTGGGGCTCGCATTGAATAATCTTTCCATTTTATCTCAAAGGAAATCTACGAGATAAAATGGAAAGATTATTCAATGCGAGCCCCAACACCCCATTTTTTTCTCGCCACTTGAATTTGTGGCTCAACCAAACACCACATTTGGCAATCGTTGTTTGCTTCTAACAACAACAAAAGTTTCCCTGGAAAGGTAACCATAAATTTCATCATTACTAAGATAAGTTTACAAAAAATTACATACCCTCTCGCCGGCCAGTTCGAGCAGTCCCACATCTAATTCTTCTTCCTACACAAATAGGAGAATCATCTACGCATCCTTCCCTTCTAAACGTTGAAGATTGCCTAGGATCGAATAAGGGCAATGCATACTTATCATCATACATTGGTGCACAATATAACCAAAGCATGGCAGACCCAGTGTCTATAATAACATACTGCCTAACTGACTTAGACCCAACATGAACAACAACTAGAAAGCATGACCCCTTCTCATGTGCAAATACTTGGAAACCAAAGTTCACATTGGGAAATAAATTTTTTCTGGAATCTAATGACAGTAAATATAATGCACGATTTACCGACAAGATTACTTCAAATTTTGCTATTTCACTAGGCGTTTTAAGGGGTTCATAGAGCGGAGAATCGGGAGAACGGTAATAAATCAACTGACTTGCAACGGTATGATCACTCTGAGCAGAACCAACTAAGAAAACATAAATATCAAAATAGACAAGATCATGATAATACTAAATAATTGGCCGATGAAAATAAAAATTATCGAATTGGGAATATTTTTAAAGACCAATTATACATATTGCTTCTTAAATAGAGCACACTGCAGGATGATGAATATAAGTGAGCTACGTCTATATATACACTAATAGCTACGGACGAATGACCAAATGGTTGGGCATCAAAATCACAGGTTCAACATTACAATTGTTAAATTGGACACACATTACATTTTCTTGATATAAATATATTAAAAATTCACACACGCACTAAATGATTCTCCCACAGTCCCACCAACCTAGTGTCTACTTTGTTTCACCATATGTATATATAGGTCTCTTACACTTGCGCCATGCTCTCATGAACCAATAACTAAAGACGGTAAAAAAGTGAGACAATTCTTCTATAGTAACCAAGAGAGAACTAGACATAGCAATGTCAACGTTGCTGACAATGTAGTAATCCAGTTACAGGAAAAAAGTCTTATATATTTCTTACATATGCCTAACTACGAATAGTTTAATCTATATATGAATTATTCTCTTTTACTTTAAGATTTATTTTCTTAAAATTTTATTAACCCACAACAGCCATCAAAAGATCAAGTGCACCCCATGGACAAATTTTGTTGAAACAGTAGGCAAGGGGTAAAAATGACACCAAACTTCATGGTTGTCATCCAAAATGTTCACCTAAAACTCTACAAAGGAGATGTGTGTACATGACCAACAATTATCATGGGTCAAAGCCAGGCATGGATCGGTCTCTAGTCAAGACCAGGTCGGGCTAAGGGCAGTACTGGCTTGGGGATGGAGGCTCAGTAACGGCCTAACTATATTCTGGGACCAGGGCTGGAAAGGGTCATGTACTATATTTTGTTTTGGCTTTTGCTTATTAATTCTAACACTTCCCACCACACCAAACATGCACCCCCATACGACTCAACTAGGAATGGATTGGTCCCGGCACC